TTTTTCCATTAATATATTTCATAAGGTGTCATACTTTTCCCTTTCAGTTGTCAAATGCAATGGAACCAAATAGTTTGGATCTGTCAACCATACTAGTGCGTAGCCCCGTGCGATGCACGGGTAAATACTATTAAATAATAATTATAAATAGGTCTCGAGTTTGAGTGGTGGGAAACCATTATCCTATTTTAAAAGAGCAAAAAAAATATTATAAATTAAAGATGTGGGGTTAACATGTGATATAATTTACCCGTCGTATATCAGTTTAGTATCAGCAATATAAAATTAACTTGTGTAGAGAACATAAAGTTTGCATGTTTAAAATATTAAAAACATGTAAAAGTATGTACTGGTTTATGTATTATTATTAAAAGATGTGAAGTCACCTACAATTCTTTTAAACTATTTTGGAAAGAAAACATGTTTAAAAACATTTGAATTTTACATTTGTATGAAAGATGTTTTCTAAACTCGGTTGTAAAGAAAACATGTATAAAAATATTTAAATTTAATATGTATATATATATGTATATGTATATAGATATAATATGACATAATAAAATATTATATAAAAGTATCTAAAATATCATAAGTCTAAATAAATTATATAAAAAATAAATAATGACATGATATCGAGAATTATGATTGTATTCCTTATTATTTTTTTATAAGTTGTTACCATTAAAAAGAAATTTTGTACGCATAACTATTTTATGCAGATTTATTAATTTTACAAATACAGATCGAGGTTAATGTAAAATGTAACAAAAATTGAAGACAATATTTAAATCTGCATTTTTTCTATTAATTTTTTTTTTATGTGTATTTAATATTTTTGGATGAGAAATGTGTGATAAATCTTATTCTCGTTATATATCTATCATTATATTAAAGACATCTAAAATATTATATTACATGTATAAAAAGTATATAAAATATTCTATATTATCCTTGAAAAAGTTGAAGCTACTCTCTAAATTATTTTTTACAGAAAACATGTCTAAAAATACTTAAATTTAACCTCCATATATATATAT